GTTGTATGTCATCTTGTTGCAATCCTGTTTTCTTCTCTGCTTTCGCAAATAGATGCTCAAACTCTTCGGATGATCTGAGTTCTCCAAGGTGGATATACATCTTGTCAATATTTGTTCTGGCTTGTTCTGCCGTCAGGTCTACCCTTTGAAGCTGCTTAGAGTTATTCTCGAGAAGAAATGCAAGCTCGTTCATCGCAACCAGGTTAATCATATTGGGGAAGAGACGTGACATTTTGCAGATTTTTCTCCACATTCTGGAGTAACACTTGCATCTGTAGACAAGGTCTTCAAGGTTTCTTGGAGCTCATGGTTCTTTTTAAGGATGACATCTGCTGCAGCCCTTCTTGTAGTCCATCTAGTTCTTGAAAGATTTTTCAGCTCTAAGTTTCTACCTCCATGATCCTTATTCTCCTCCGACAATTCCATCTGGATATTTTGAAAAAGTAAAACCCTGGGCGTCAGCAACCATTCTTGAAAGTGAAGTTACATCTCTGAAGACCAGGTCGTTGCAATGTGCAAAGCAGTGAATGTAAAGCGTAAAGCGGCATGTTTGCAAACTCCATCTTTTAAAAGAACCGCTAACCGTTTCATTGCCGAAGCTCCATCAAATGCCATACCAGTTATTTTTTGAGTTATTTATTGCATCGGACCAATATACAGTATCTTCTTGAACATACTTTAAAAGGGCTTCGGATGATAATCCCTCGTCACATGGCATCACGCATAGAGATTATAAATAACACTAGAGGAGGCATTATGATCTTAATTCAGTCGAAAAGAAGGGAACGCGGCTATTGGGGGGGGGGAATTCAAGAACCGGATGTGTGTTTATGTTCCTATTGGTGACGAGTTTCAAATCAGCCAATGAAAGCACGATATTATATCTGGGACTTGTATCCACTTCATTAGCTGCATTGCCAATTTTTAGCCTCGATGCCTCCACTAGTGTTATTTATAATCTCTATGGCATCACACCGATGAAATCTTGCAAAACGTCGTAGTTTTCAGTGCAATGGCGAACAGAAAAAGATAACTGGTTCAGTTTTCGAAATGTCACTTGATACATCGCAAATGATCGCTAAAATTTACTGGCATTAATGTCATCTATATTAGGCTTCTTCTCGAGTTCAGCAACAAAGTTTCTTCTTGTTCAACTAAAATATCGTGAAACATGTACTGTACCTTCAAAAGGAGATTTAATCCTTCATGATCGATGGCTTTGTCTTTGTTGAATTGAATGATGTTCGAGTCTTCGTCGGTATGACCTCGAATTGCTACACCACGCCTGTCAAAAATGCATCCAAATGCGCCAATTAGAAGTGTCCACTATTTTTCTAATTACCGAGCGGAAAAAATGTAAGACTGGTAACTAATTCTAATTTTGAAAATCGCGCTTTTTCTCTTGCTTCTGGTACTTTGTAGGATGTGTAAGAATATATAGGTATATACGAGTGTGAAAGAGGAGATTCTGTGGATTATTTTGATCCCAATTATTGCCATGGTTACTTTATTATTATTCTAGTTTGCTTGGTCTTCTTCCGGGCATTCGCGCTAGTTACGAAGTTTCAAAGGAAGTCGCTAAAATACACAAATTTCGGCTAGTTATATCTTTTTTGTTTATGCTCTGATTGTTTTCGTTATTGTGTGATTTGAAAGATAAAGTGTCCATTTACAATCGTATGTTTTTTGTTTTTTGATAATTGTGCAATGAAATTGTAAAAATGCCGTGGAAAAGAGCAACACAATACAAGCGCTTCATTGTCGGGAGCGTATGCGACAGCAAAGGTTAAGCTCTATAGCCATAGATAACAAGACGAAGCAGGGTAGAGCAACGGCTAAGAAGTTAAAAAGATTGGATAAAAGGGTAAGATGAGCCTTTTAATTGTTTTGGTAGTTTATTTAGTACAAAATTTTAACAAATCGATGCCTCTAGGTATAGTCAAATCATAGTATTTATGCATATTTTTTCAACATGATCGATCGGCTCAGCTGCTAGGTTAATGTTTACTTAACCACTTGGACAGTGAGTCAAAGATCCCTTCGTTGAATGTATTTATTTATGTTTATTGTTTACTGCATGAATAATCTTTCAAAAGCATTTTTGATATTAATACCCAACATTTTCACCTTGACAAGTAAAGACAGTAAATTTGTCTGACAATTCAATATTTGATTGTTTCACCTAATGAACCATTCATTTTATATACACACACCCCTATGGATGAGGTTTTCTGAGGGGTCGCCTGAATTTTAACGAAATTTGTCAGGGTAACCTGTAAATACACCCTTTCGATGATTACGTAACACATACTTTTTGCTCTTGGAGCCCCAGATCATGATTCATGAGTGCAAGGCACCCAGGCCAAATGACATAATTACTGAAAGGGTGTATTATTAAAATTTTGGATAAAATTCATCCGAAGGGTTGTCTAAAATAGGAAATAATTCTGAGCAGCATGGTATTGGAGATGAGGTTTTCCGAGGGATTGCCTCAATTTTAACAAAATTCTTCAGGGTAACCTGTAAATACACCCTTTCGATTATTACGTCACACATACTTTTTGCTCTTGGAGCCCCAGATCATGATTCATGAGTGCAAGGCGCCCAGGCCAAATGACGTAATTATTGAAAGGATGTATTATCAAATTTTTTATAAATATTTATCCGAAGGGTTGTTTAAAATAGGAAATAATTCTGAACAGCATGCTATTGGGGATGAGGTTTTCTGAGGGATTGCCTGAATTTTAACCAAATTCTTCAGGGTAACCTGTAAATACACCCTTTCGATTACTACGTCACACATACTTTTTGCTCTTGGAGTCCCAGCTCACAATTCATGAGTGCAAGGCTCCCAGGTCAAATGATGTAATTATTGAAAGGATGTATTATCAAATTTTTTGATAAAAATTTATCCGAAGGGTTGTCTAAAATAGGAAATAATTCTGAACAGCATGCTATTGGGGATGAGGTTTTCTGAGGGATTGCCTGAATTTTAACCAAATTCTTAAGGGTAACCTGTAAATACACCCTTTCGATATTTACGTCACACATACTTTTTGCTCTTGGAGCCTTGGATCTCGATTTATGAGTGCAAGGCTCCCAGGCCAAATGACGTAATTATTGAAAGGGTGTATTATTAAAATTTTGGATAAAAATTTATCTGAAGGGTTGTCTAATATAGGAAATAATTCTAAACAGCATGCTATTGAGATGAGGTTTTCTGAGGGATCCCTGAATTGTTAGGGTTCGTGCACCAGGACAACAAATTTATGGTGATTTGTGCACCTGACAGGGAGATGGAGTGATGGGGTTGGGCATTGGGTTTATAATTATTGTAGAATATGTATAATTTTGTTTATAATTATTGCATGTTTTTGCAGGAATATACCCGGGAATTCAAGAATGATTTGGCTGTTAAGATATCAAACTACAATCATCAAATAATGCAATGTCAGCATTTTATTGTTCTCAGTGTGAAAATATTAATAGAAATAAAATATACACATGCTAGTATCCTGATAGATAGAACATTGTATTATTATAAGGTGTCACATACACTGGTACTGATGCTACTTTGAGTGTGTTCACACCAGGTAAGCAGAAGAGTTTGCTTGACAGCGTTGGGAATCGAACCCGCGATCTTCGGTTTGCTAGTCCAATGCTTTACCAACTGGGCCATACATGCATGGGGTCAAGTCGGTAAGAAAACCAAAAGTCGTGGGTTCGATTCCCACTGCGATCAAGCAAGAGGAGCATCATAAACAAACAGTGGTCTACATATTTATCTATATCCCACTAACAATGAATAAAATCATTGAAAAAAGAAACTGTGTCCAATGTGTGTAATAAAGGTCTAGTTTTTAGAAATGAATAGATTCAAACATATTCCCAGCCATGTTGTTGTCATGACATTCAGTGTCTTAGCACTGTTGCAACATGTGACATGATTATGGCTGTCAGCAGGTGGTATGCTATAAATCATTTCTGGCAAATGTTTTTGTCATGAGAAATGAAACCAATATTGCAGGTGAGAAAAAGAAACATTTCCTAGTTCATTCAATATTGTAGAATGCTGTTTTATAGTGAAATAAATCAAGATATTCCTTGAAAATTTGTCTTCCTTGGAATACACTCTTTTGATATTTATGTCACAACTCCTTCCCTGTCCAGGAAACCTTTTGTTCATGAATTTATTTTTTTATGAGAGTGCGGCTTCTGGACCAAAGGGGTATTTGTGATTTAATTACCTAAAGGGTGTATTGAGATGGGTGAAAGTAAAAATATACGTAGATATATGTAGATGGTGGTGATCATGTCTTGCTTAAAAGGACAATGCTCTGAAATGCAACAATATTCTACTTGCTGTATTTACATTTTACTGATTTTAGAGCATTGCTGTATAAAAGTAAGAGAAATCTTACTGTTTATAAATAATTATTTTTGTTTTTCCCAAGGAAGCAAAAAGGCTCACAATACTCAGGAGTGGTTTTCACCAATTTCTGATCCCAGCATGGAAAATAGCTCTAAGGGAATATCTTTATATCTCGATATATTTCACCATGAAATGGATGTCTAATACTCCGCTTTTATTGCCGACAGCCATAATCTTGATTCATGCCGAAACAATGCAGGGCATTGCGGAGCTAGCGAAAATTTCCGCAGCATGCCATGTTATTAATATGCCAACTGAGAGATCGGCAGAACGACTTTCAGTCGGAGTCCAGCTCCGATTCTACGGCCACTGTGCACCAAGGCATCCCTTATCTTCCTCGCCCCATCGCTTTTCCCATCCTTTCCAGCATTATGGCACAGAATAGGAAGTTATACCAGAAGCGTAACTCGAGCAAATATTTGTCCGCGTTTTTACAAGCGATTCGTCATCAATCACGCCATCCTGGCTAGTACAACCGGCACTTTGTACCTACCAAATCCCAGTGAACTCTATATATATATATCTGGAATGATAACAGCGAGCGAAAAGTGAAGCCGACAAAAAAATCACGACATAAGTATTCGTCATTGTCTTCGTCATCAACTGTTCAAGAACTTTCTTACAGTATTAAAAATCACTTACATATAAAATTTGTAATTGTTTTGAAAGTTTTTATCACAGTTTTTATATCTTTATTCACTTTTAACCTGAAGATGGAGTTATACTCCGAAACGTAGTTATTAAAATAAGTTTTTACTAAGCCCATATGGTCTAATTTATATTCAAACACACGTACATATTCATTTACATTTTGCTGGCAGGCAAATTCCGATCGCACAATAAATTCTTTAAAAAATAACGTACCAGTGTATTGACTAAAAACTATAAAACTGGTAAACTAAAAAACAATTCAAACAATCGCGAAAAATGGCAACGGCAAAGTCACAGTTGCAAGTCAATTTACCTACCTGTGAAATGAAATTTTCTCGCAAGAATATCTCTTTCCTTGTGCATCCAGAACGACAGTACGACACAATATATTTGAAAAAGTGATTCTTTTCTCCACACGGGGAAGTTTTCCTCGACTTTTTTCCGACAGGGAACTCAATGCAGTAAATTTTAGGAGCAAAACAGTTTGCTCCTAAAATGTATTGCATTGAGTTGGCCATGTTTTTAATTTTTTTTCGTGATTGCGTTCAAATTTATACTGGCCGTGCAACGGTTTGCAAGAGGGGGAATGAAACTGACGTCCAATCCGCGTAAGCCTGACGTTTGAGGGACTGAGACTGACGTCCAATCCGCGTGAAAGACTGGTATCGAGGCTTCATTTTTTTCGCAATCAAATGACTGAATGTTATCGTTCCAGATATATATATTAAACCAGATATATTATATTATATATTATTATATATAATAATATTATTATATATTATTATTATAATATTATTATTATTATTATATATTATATGTTCCAGATATATTATATTATATGTTGTGTAAAACGTGCTCGTGCTTGTGCGCGGCGGGCGTGCGCCGCGGAGCTCCGTAAAATCCTAAGGATTTTACACTTTGTGATTGAAGTTCTGAGTAAAAAAACTTACAAAACATTGGCTAAAGTCTCCTGGATTAAAGATATAAGGTTTTTTTGAAATTATCGTTATTATTGGCTGAATAATTTGTTGGATTTAACGTTGAATTGAAGTTTCCGTTGTCTTTTCCTGTACGTGCAAACAAGGGACGGTTGATACTGGCGAGTGCAAACGAACACGCAATCTCGCAAGTTTAATTGAAGAAAATTGGATCGCGTACGCAAACTAGAATTGATTAGAACAGTTTTTTTCTGATTATTGAACATGATTGCAGCCAAATTGAGCTACTTTCTATTCTTTTTGTGGTTAATTTTGCGTGGTTTTCAAGTCACCGAAGAAAGCAAAATAAACTTGTTTTATGCATCAACGAAAGCTCTTTCACCACCGTGTTTTGTTCAAGCTCGTCGCGTGAGGAAACACATAAACTCCCTATCAGTTCTTCGATTCTCAAATGGCCTGAAATTACTACAAAGGTCGGTTTTGCCGCTTTTGTTAATCCTCTTGGCAAACGACGTAGAGATGAATCCGGGTCCAGAAGATACACCTGAACACGTTCCACCACAACAGTTAGATCACAACATGCGATGTCTTTATTTCAACGCCCAAAGTTTAGTAAACAAAACAATTGAATTTCAAGCACTAGTAACTGACTTTGATATTGTTGCAATAACTGAGACGTGGCTTAATGCTGAAATAGGGAATTGTGAACTCCTACCCGGTCAAAATTTTACAATCCATCGAAAGGATCGAGCTGATAGAATTGGAGGTGGGGTTCTGTTAGCAGTTCGGAACAATATATTTAACTTACGTAGAAAAGATCTCGAAAGCGACAGCACAGAAATGCTCGTCTGTGAAATTCGTCCGAAATCCAGAAAAAAACTGTTGGTTCTTGTATTCTATAGACCGCCCAACACAAATCTGGACTACATCAAGCAACTTAAGAAAGCCTTAACACTTGCCTCTAAAGCAAAGTTTGATTCTTTAATTGTGTGTGGTGACTTCAACCTTCCACATATCGATTGGTCTACCGGAGTAGCTACGAACAATGACTCAATTCACAATTTCTTCACTAAAACTGTCAAAGATAATTACTTATGGCAGCTAGTTGACTTTCCAACCCGAATTAACAACACTCTGGACCTGCTTCTTACCAATATTCCAGAAAAAGTTATAAACGTGCATGGATTCGAGGACATTATTAGTACAGATCACACACTTATTGGCTTCGATGTCGATTTCAAGATTTGTAAAAAACCGAAAGTCAAGCGTTCAGTGTATAATTTCAAAAACGCGAATTGGTCGGGTTTAAAACAAGTATTAGCAAATATACCATGGGAACTTGGTTTTGTTTCTGGTGATATTAACACATTACTCTCCAGTTGGTGTGAGTCCTTCATCTCTGCCGTGAATGATCACATTCCCAAACGTACATCCCGCTGCGTGTATGACCCCCCTTGGATTGACAAAGAACTTTTGGCTCTGCTCAAAAAGAAAAACATTCAGCGAAAGAAATCGCGTAAGTCGAAGAGTCCAGAAGCCATCGCAAAATTCAAACAGTTGCGTCGTGAATCCAAGATTCTTATCGCTAAAAAGAAGGTCGAACATGCAAACAATATGAAAAATAGTGTTTTCGAAAACCCTAAACGTTTCTGGTCATACGTGAAATCTTCAACAAGATCAAGCCAAAGTCCGAATTTTCTAAGAAATGGACATTCATATATCACAGATAGTCGTGAGAAAGCCAACCTCTTGAACACTTTTTTCCACTCAGTTTTTAACCCCAGGAACATTGAACCTGCTGCTTCCTTTCCAACTCCTTCCAAAACCCTTGATAATCAGCTATCGGAGATCGAACTGATTGAAGAGGAAGTTGCTGCAGTATTGAGTAACTTAGATCCAAACAAGGCTAGTGGACCAGACGGTATTCCGTGTAGATTGTTGAAAGAAGTCGCGCACGAGATCGCTCCCTCTTTGTGCAGATTGTTCAACCTTTCTCTTTCCCTGGGTGTAGTGCCGTCAGAGTGGAAATTCGCCAACATGTCCCCTGTCTTCAAGAAAGAGGATCCATCGATAGAATCCAATTACCGTCCTATCTCTCTTCTATGTGTACTGTCCAAAGTATTGGAACGTTGTGTTTTTAACCACTGCTACTACCACCTCTCACCCCTGTTATACCACCTTCAACACGGGTTCTTGCGCGGACGATCAACGGTAACGCAACTTCTGGAGGTTTATCACAACATCATAGAAACCGTTGCATCGGGAAAGGAAGTAGATATCATTTACTTACTTAGATCTATCTAAAGCCTTCGACAAGGTCCCACATAGTTTACTACTTTTAAAACTGAACAGTTATGGCATCTCAGGATCTCTTCTCTCGTGGTTTAGCAGCTATCTCACGGACAGATATCAAAGAGTTGTTCTTGATGGCGTTTATTCTGACTGGCTTCCAATAACATCCGGTGTCCCCCAAGGTTCCATACTTGGTCCTCTCCTGTTCCTTGTCTACGTCAACGATCTCCCCAGCTACACCAATTCCCAATCAACCATTGCCCTGTTTGCCGATGACTCCAAACTTTATAAATCCATCAACCTTCCTGACTCAACCCTTCACCTCCAAAACGA